GTTTAGGAGCAATGTGTCTCAACAACGCATGTCTCATTGCCCCCTGATAAAACAACAATGATTCTGATCCTTTTGCACGATTAAAATTCATTTTCATTGTGCCACGCCTGACAAAGAATGGAGACGAGGAACACAATCGAAACACACACTAAAAATTAGATTAAAAAAAGAGAGATTGAGAGACAGATTAATAAATTATACTAACTTGTCTGTTCTTTTGTTATGTTTTTTTTTCTTTTTCTTTTTTATTATTGTTATTTAATTCTTCTAATTCCAAATGATTTCCAAATGATTTCTATTATTTTCATAATTCTTATTTAATCTTGTATGAAGTTGGCATGGGATCCCAGGGGACACGCTGTATTGAGGTGATATGGAGGCCGGGTGGTAATTAGGAGGGATCACACCTGGAATGAGCCGAGTTGCCGCCTTCACTTCTCAGCTAACAATACCCTTCGTTGACACCGAACGCCCTTCATCCTGCAACCAGTAGGTGATTGATATCCATTACCCCTCTACGTATTCCACTGATCAAACATGACCAGCCTGTTCCCCCTCCTTCCGTTGATGAAGTCACGACAGACAGATAGTGTGACGTTGTTCTTTCCCACCTTGTTCGGCTGTTTTTCTTTTTTCCAAATCACCTCGTCCTGATGTCCTCCTCCTTCCCCTCCACTTTTAAGTCCTCCCTTGCTTCTCTCTCCACCTTCCTCCTTCTACTTCACCCCCCTTATTTCATTCCTTGTTTTCTGTTATCCCTCCCCCTTCCCCAACTCATCCCTCTCCACTTATGCGACTGAGGGATAATGTAAATCGCAGGTCCAGTTTCGGCCGTTCACCTTGAGACTACCCGATTGATCAACGATCAATGCAGGTTAGTCAATCCCTAATGCGATTGGCATCCTCTATTAGTGTAGCCGGATAGGCAAGAGAAGTTCCTTTCTCCGACGCTTCTTTCCTGGACCAGACGGACCAGACAGACCTCTCATCAGCCTGTGACACAGATAGTACAAGACCTCGGTAGCGCCGTGATCACAATCATTACCTTCATTACAACTATTTATCTATGTCACCGGAGATAGATTTCCCTCATATCTTACTCCTCGTTGGATTATCTCCCCTCTGTCCTCGTCAGGGTACAGTATCTCAAAAGACGAGCCTGACGAGATCCGTTCTCGACATGGTGCGCAATGCCGACAACAATATTGAGGTAAGCTTCCCCTTCTATCATGACCAATCTCCCAGCCCTGAACTCCCTCCTTGTCAATACTCTGATCTGTTTCGAAGTCAATGTGGCTAGCGCCACGTCAGCAATTAAGTTGCCGGCTGGCGCCACGAACACAGAGGGATCACCATCACAATGCGGTATCCCAAAATACGAGTCTGGCGAGAATGGATCACTACATAGAGCGCAATGCCAACATGGTGCGCAATGCCGACAACAATATTAAACAATATTCAGATAAGCTTCCCCTTCTAACACGACCAAAATCCAAGCCTTGATCTCCCTTCACGTTTATTCTCCAATCTGTGTCGAAGTCAATGTGGCATGCGGACCCCCGCCGCCGCCGCACGGTTGTCAGGCGGGGGCCCCCGGAGGCAAAGCCGGGGTAGGGGTTCGACCCCCGGAACCCCGCCGTCGGGGTGCCCCACCCCTGCCCACCACAAAACACCCCCGCCGGCGCCCCGACACCCGCACCCCCGGACCCGACACCCGCACCCCCGGACCCG